CCCCCAAAAAAAAAGAAATAAAAATGCAAAGATGAAATTTAAAAAATTACAAAATCAGTCCTACTTCATTCCCCAAATTACGATAAAGTGAAAAATTAGCTGAGAAGTTCTTTTTTCAAAGCCAGTAGTTTTTTAACCCATGGATAGCACTGGGTTGTGATGATCGTGGCCTGCTCATTATGACATTAACCTGTCTATCATGGTCATGACCCTGTTCATTGTGACCTTCACACATCCATCATGACCTTAACCTCATTCACCAGGAACTTTACCTGTTTGTTGCGACCTTGACACTTTCATCATGACCTTGACACTTTCATCATGACCTTGACCCTGTTCATAATGACCTTAACCCTGTTAATCAAGACCGTGACCTGTTCACTCTGACCTTGACCTTGTTCCAGGAACCTGCCCAAGGCCATCTGGATCTCCATCATCCTGGTGACTGTGGTCTACGTGTTCACCAACATCGCTTACTTCTCTACCGTCAGCCCGGAGGAGGTGCTCGGTGGTGCCGCTGTCGCTGTGGTAAGTCGGAGGTCGGAGGCTGAAGGTCACAGGTCAGAGGTCGTCACACCCTCTCGTCCTTCTGTCCGTGTAGTGTTGTGTTGTCCAAATATTTGAGATCGAATAAGATCGTACAAGGAATTATGAGTGGGTGGTTGGCTGGTGCTCTGGTGTGGTTTGCTCCTTCTTTCCTGTCAAACATCTATCGAAACATCTGTCGTCCTTATCTCTCCTCCTTCTTTTTTGTATATGTCACTCTCTTGTAACACATCTATCTTTGGCACTTATATGACCTTATTGTGTTGCAAGTGCCGTAAAACTCTTACTAAAACTAAAAAACTAAAAAGGAATTATAAGTTGTAAAAATTATTTCCAGTTTCCTGAAAATGAGGGTGGCTGGTAGATGTTGTAGTGTGTGTGTGTGTGTGTGTGTGTGTGTGTGTGTGTGTGTGTGTGTGTGTGTTTGTACCCTACTTTGTGTGTGTGTGTGCGTGCGTGCTTGCGTGCGCGCGCGCGTGTATATTGTAAAATCGGCTCATAATGTAGGCCTACATTTTCTATCTTTTGATTTGTCAGTGGTATTGAATGGTATCTTTCCTCTGTTCAGTGTTTAGAGCCTTGTAGGGTGCAGGCACTACATGAATTCACACTGGTGTTATTGTTAATTCTTCTTATAAATATTATTA